GACACCACTGCTCTTCAGCACTTTGGAGAGGTATGAAAAAACCTAGCGGAAATTAACAAATACCTAGAAGATCAAACACTATCTAAAGTGACACAAACTGAAATTGAACACCTGAACACACCTATTACAAAAGAAGAAATTGAAAAGGTAATACAACTTCTAGCCAAAAAAAGCCCTAGACCAGATGGTTTTACAAATGAATTTTATCAAACATTCAGAGAACTGTCACCAATTCTACATAAACTATTTCAGAATATAGAAAAAGATGGAATTCTCCCAGACTCATTATATGAAGCAAACATATCCTTGATACCAAAACCAGGTAAAGACACCACCAAAATAAAAAACTATAGGCCAATATATCTAATGAACAGAGATGCAAAAATCCTGAATAAAATCCTGACCAATAGAATCTAATGATACATCAAAAAAATAATACATCATGACCAAGTGGGATTCAAAACAGGTATGCAAGGGTGGTTCAACATAAGAAAAACAATCAGTGTAATTCATCACATTAAGAAAGCAAAGAACACAAAAAAAAAAAAAAGAAAGCAAAGAACAAAGAACCACATTGATTCCGTCAATTGATGCAGAAAAGGCCTCTTGACAAAATACAACACCCTTTCCTGATTAAAACACTCAACAAAATAGGAATAGAAGGGAATTTCCTCAACATAGTAAAAAGTATATACACAAACCCGAGAGACAACGTTGTTCTCAATGGAGAGAAGTTAAGGCATTCCCCTTGAGAAAAGGAACTAGGCAAGGATGTCCACTATCACCTCTCCAATATTGTATTAAAAGTCTTAGAGGTAGCAATAAGAAAAGAGAAGGAAATAAGAGGTATCCAAATTGGCAAAGAGAAGGTAAAATTATCTCTAAATGCAGATGACATGACAGTATACTTAGAAAACCCTAAAGATTAAGCAAGAAAACTACTGGACATAGTTAACCAATTCAGCAGAGTGGCAGAATACAAGATCAATTGGATTTCTCTACAGTGACAAAGAGAAAATCGAACTGGAGCTAAGAAAAAATACCCATTACAATAGCTAATCACAAGATTTAATACTTGGGAGTAAATCTAACTAGAAATACACAAGACTTACTCAAAGAAAATTATAAAACATTACTACAAGGAACAAAAAGAGACCTGGAGAAATGTAAAAATATCCCTTGCTCATGCATAGGAAGACTTAATATTGTGAAAATGACAATCCTATCAAAGGCAATCTACACATTCAATGCAATCCCAAAACAAATACCAATTCCATTCTTCAATGAGATGGAAAAGGCAATCTCCAATTTCATTTGGAATAGAAAGAGACCGCAAATAAGCAAAGCACTCTTTAAAAAAAAAAAACCAAGGTAGGAGGCATCTCACTCACTGATTTCAAATCCTACTACACTGTTATGGTGGTCAAGACAGTGTGACTGGTACACTGACAGACATATAGATCAATGGAATAAAATTGGGAACTCAGAAATCAGCTCATCTATCTATGGTTAACTGATTTTTGACAAGGAAATGAAATCAGTTAAGTGGGGAAACAACAGCCTTTTTACAAATGGTGTTGGCAAAATTGGAAAACCATCTACAGAAAACTCAAGCGCATATCTCACACCACACACAAAAACCAAATCAAAATGGATCAAGGACCTAGGACTAAAACCAAGTACTATACACTTCATTAGAGAAAAGCTTGAAAGAACTCTATAAATCCTAATGCACAACTTGAACAGTCTGAAAAACCTACAACCAGGAGAGGATAATATATAGATAAAAGGGACCTTCTAAGAATCAAATCCCTATGCACATCCAAAACCTTCTCCAGCAAAGTAAAAGGGGAAGCCACAGACTGGGAAAAAATATTTGGTAATGACATGTCTGATAAGTGGCTTATATCTAGAATTTATAGAATACTCAAATGCCAAAAAAAGATAAACAACCCAGCTGCAAAATGGGCACAGATATGAACAGACACTTCACCAAAGAACACATTCAACAAACAAGTGAAGAAATGTTCAAAATCTCTAGCTCTAAGAGATGCAAATCAAAACAACTATGAGATATCATCTCACCCCATTAAAAGTAGCAAAATTTAACAGGGAAGTAAGCAATAAATGCTGGTGAGGTTGTGGAGCAACTGGAACCCTTATTCACTGTTGGTGGGAGTGTAAAATGGTGCAACCATCACGGAAGGCAGGATGATGTTTTCTCAAAAAGTTGGAAACAGAAATACCATTTGACCCAGCAATTCCACTACTGGGAATATACCCTAAAGAAACCAGAACAGCCACCCGAGCAGATATAGGCACACCTATACTTATAGCTGTTTTGTTCACAATAGCAAAGAGTTGGAAACAACCTAAATACCCATCAACAAACAAATGGATAGAGAAGCTGTGGTATAGTCACACAATGGAGGAATATTATGCAGAACTGAAAAACAAAGAGCTCATGAAATATTATACAAACCAGGTGACCATGAAGGATATTATGCTGAGTGAAATATCTCAGTCACAAAAAAGATAAGTGCTGTATAATGCCACTGTTATAGAACAGGACTAACATGAGAGTTGGGGGAAACAAAGAAAAGAGGGGATAAATAATGCACATGTCATTGAAACAGAGAAGGAAAGAACTGTATAAAAGGAATATATGATTAGGAGATGTTCCTAGTTTAAAGATTATCTCAAGGTAGTAGTTTTGGAAGAGAGTAGTTTATGGTTTTTTAAGTCATTGCTGACATTGGATTTGTATGAATATTAGATAAATTAGTGTCAGGAATGGTGTTAAGACCATTTTGAAGTTGATGAACTTGATTTTAAAAAAGTTTCCCAGTTTATACTTTCCAAGGAGAAATCCCTGCTTCAGATCATCAGTAGAGACTGCTCAAATATGCCAAAAAACCAGACTCATGCTGTCAAGTCCATTCCAACTCCTGGTGACTCAACTTTGAGTTTCTGAGGCTATACGTTTTGCTGGGAAGAGAGAGACTCTCTTTTCCTTGGGAGCAGTTGATGGATTTGAATCACTGACTTTTCAGTTAGCAGTTTAACATTTAACTAACTAACTATGCTCTAACTAACCAGGGCTCTTCTGATCAAATACTGGGCCTTTTTAATTGAGCTTACAACTATGTAAACAATCTGAGTAATCATCTGAAAGTGCATTCACAATAAAATTCACAATTCAATTTACTCATTCATTGATGACTCTATCTTTGGGAAATTTATTTGGCAAGAAGTAATCTGTACTACTTCCCTCTGTTTCATTTTTTTTTGGGGGGGGACTATTTTCTTACATACCCATTTAGCCTTTTATACCAATTTTAGAATACATTTGAAAAACTATAAACCCCACTATTATATTTCTACAACATCTTATTATTCAAGATTATATTCTGAAAGACTCTCCCTGAAGTGTCCATCTCAGGAAACTCTCAGTATTTGCACACATCTAGAATATACTGCAGCGATGAGCTCAAATGTGTCAGAAACAATAAGGATGGCAGGCATAGGATAGACCAGGGATCAGATGTATTGTTCATAGAGTCACTGAGTCATACTCATATTTAACTTAACAGCACCTAACAACAACAGAGTATTACACTGTGCTCTACCTATGACTTCCATTTTCTCCTACAAATCAAACAAAAAGATTGTATCTTTTTCTCTAAATTACTGGCACATAACAGTACCAATGAATGAACACTTCATTGTTTGGCATTAGGTTAGAAGCTATAAGAAAAACAAAGAAAGGAGAAACAATAGTCTTGACTTCAAGAAACCTACAGATTAATTAAAGGGAGATAATACATAATTTTGGAGGATATACAGAATTAAATTACAATGATTATGTACTTAATGATACTGAAAATTTAATAAAAAGTAGAGAGAAATGAACACAGTAGGAGCTGAGTAAGACTGGAACTTAAGAGAATTTGGCTAATTTAAGTACTAAGAAAATTTGGATAAGTGGGGGGAAAAGATAGGTTACAGTTTCTGAATAAAGATATCAAGTGGGAATTAACATGTTATATAGAAGTCAAGAACATATTTATGCATCAAATAGAAACTAATTTTGCTCAGAAAGTTTTATTCTATGTAGCAAAGAAACTATTTTTTACCTGAAGTTCTCCAAGTCTCTTAGATGTTGGTGAAATAATGGTAAAAAATCCACTGATTTGATTGGTTGGAGAAAGCTGGGCTAGTCCACTGATCTGAACTCTACCAACTGGAAGATGGTCAAGTTTGGTGATTACTTCCAGCACCAGCACAGCCATATCTAATTAGAAACAAAATCATTTACTCAGATGCTTTTCCCACCCCAAACTGGCAAAAGCACATTAATTAGAAAATATTTTTTTATCCAAAACAAGAAAGAATTTTATTTTCAAATAAACCAGATACTTACCACACCATCATTGGAATGAGGAAGGTAAACCAAAGTACAAAAACCAAAAGCACAAAGTTTTAGAGAACAAGGACATGTATCTCAAACTAAGAAAAAATACACTAAAAAAAACCTTCTTAGCATACATATAAGTAAGAAAAATACATTTAATAGAGTAGAACAGATAAGGGGGAAGAACTGTCTGAAAGGAATATATGATTAGGCATTATATTTATGACAACAATCTGGAACAAGAAATGCATTGCAAAGTGGACTGGAAACGGGAAGAAAATGTGCAACAATGAATGAATGAAAATCCAACCTTTCTCTAAACTTTGGTAAAAATCACAATTAACAAAAATGTTGTTGTTGTTAAGTGCCGTCGAGTTACAGGCAACTCATAGGGACCCTATGAACGAAAGTCCTGGACACCTCCTATATAACTTTCATCCTTTCTCCAGGTTCATCAGGTCCAAAAGAAACTCAAAGCACCATACTGTCAAAAATAGGAGGTTCCAATAAATTCATTCAGGTTTCTCTTTGTAGATCAGAGAATTACTGATAATCACACTCAAAAAGAACAGGGAATAGAGGAAGAAGATGTGATTGAAGTTTATCAGAAATAAATAGGATCAACAGTTTAGATAATTTTTCAATTTTTTTTCTTTTCCCTCAATCCTTTTTTATTTTTAAAAATAGATCTATTGTAATGTAGTGTTCAAATGGAATTGAAAACTAGCACCTATCTTCAAAACATATGGTATTTTGAATTCTAGTGCTCATTATTTATTACTGTTTAACTGTGCTAATTTTTAATGAGCAAACCTTATCCCCCCCCTTTATATTTTGTCTTTTTCTTAAAAATTAAATGTCTATTCAGAGAGGTCACCTTTTCCGGAACCATGTATTTTCAGGCTCGTGGGGTAAGTAAGATCAACCAATGCAAGTGTTCATAATGACTGTCCAGGTGGCCCTGAAGTTCCAATACTTGATTGCTTCACTCCTGGACTATGACTTTCAGTGGGAGATGGAAGCTTTTCAGATAAATGAAATGTAGAAAAATTATCTTTCCTTAACTTGAGGCTACTTATATGAAGGTCTGGACCAAAAGAAAGAGGAGTGTCAGGTTGGAGACATGATGACATATGGTGAGAGTAAAGACTAACTCCAGAGACGAGTTCACTGAAAACACAATACATTCAAAGATTAAAATTCTTGTCAGAAGATCCCAGAAAAGTTCTAACTTCCACTGGTAGTTGATTATTCACGCAGAAATACACATACACACACACACACACACACACACGCGCGCGCGCGCGCATCAGAACACTGCTCTTTTTTTTAAAATTTTATTTGTACTTTTTGGCCTGAGATAAGGGTTTTAAATGGACATTGTACCAGCTTCACTCAAGTAAACAAAGTATTTGTAGAAAACATGGAAAGAATAAAAGGGAAGAATGAACTACCAAAAGAATAAACAAGTCAGTCTAGGAAGACTTGCAGCTAACATGCTCCTTAGAAATAAATGCTGGCAAGACTCTCTCATGTGCTTTGTTACATTATCAAGAGAAACAGACCAGTCTCTGGATAAAGTCATCATGCTTCATAAAGTAGGTCAGTGGGGAAATAAGAAGACCACAAACAAGTTGGATCGACAGTGTTAGCAGTAAACATAGCTCATGTACAGCAATAATTGTGATAGTGCAAGTATGAGAAGTGCTTAATTCTGTTATACATATCAGATCAGAATCAATTTTGTAGTATCTAACATCAAATTGTATTCTCCAATTATAGTCACTTAGATACAAAACCTTTAAGACCTTAATTCACAGCAGGAGAAATACAGTGTATATACAAAGAAGGACTGGCAATAACAAAATATAGCTTTGGCAACAGAAATGAGGGTGGAGATTCTATGAGACAATTCTGTACAATGAATGATTTACTCAATGCAAATACCTCTGTGAAACTAACATAAATCATGCCTATATACATGGACCTTGCCTGATGGAATACAAAGGCATTTAAGTGATAGCTTTTGCTACATACAATCCTGTCTGTGTAAATAGATAGTGGAGAAACTCAGTATCAGCAATTAAAAATGGCCAGTGCCTACTGTGGAACAAATCATCAATCACACTTAAGCAAGTTCAAACTGAAGGTCAAGAAAATTTAAACAAATCCATGAGTCCCAAACTACAACCCTGAGTTTACCCTACCTCAATTTGAAAATGATCTTAAAAAGAGATTTATTGCACTGAACACTAATGACTGAAGACCAGGTAAGTTATGGATGACATCAAGGACATAGAACATGAAGAAAATCTATGTGAAATCTTTACATAGACCAAGAAGCAGTTGGTCAAATAGAGTAAAGGAACAGTACATGGTTTAAAATCTGGAAAAAGGATGTATCAGGGTTATATCTTTTTTCTATATTTATTAAAACAGCATGCTGAGTAAATAATTAGAAATCCTGGACTATCTGGAGAAGAATGTAGTGTTAGAACTGGAGGAATATTCATCAACAATCTACATTATACAGATGACACAAACCTAACTGAACAAAGGGAAATAGATTTGGAAGCCTTCAATATAGATTGTACCTCAACATCAAGAAAATTTAAAAAACCCTTACAACTGGACCAAAAGGCAATGTTATTCATGATATATGGAGAAAAGACTGAAGTTATCAGATTGCCTGCATCTACAGTCAACATAATGGTAGAAGTAGTCAAGAAAACAAAAGATGTGTTTCATTGGGCAAATGTGCTGACAAGGATCTCTCTGAAAGTTCTGAAGAGCAAGGATGCCAGTTTAAAACTAAGATGTGCCTGGCTCAAGCCATAGTGTCTTCAACTGCTTCATATGCATGTGAAAGCTGTAAAATTAATAAGGAAGCCTGGAGAAAAACATATCCCTTTAAATTATGGTGCTGGTGAAGAATACTGAATATTCCATGGACTAACAAAAGAGCGCTGATGACCTAGTGGTAAGAAACTGTGCTGCAACCTCAAAGGCTTGTGGTTCAAATCCACCAGCTGCTATGCAGAAGGATGGACAATCTCCTCCTGTGAAATTAACTGCCTCTGACAAGCAGCTGGAGGATCAGCTATGAATCAGTTCCAACTTGATGGTACACAACAACAACAACAAAAAGAGCCAAGAGTAAATAAATTTATCTTAGAAGTACGAACAAGGTACTTCTTGGATGCAAAGGTAGTGAAACTTCATGTCACAGGAGCACCAGTCTCTTGGGAAAAAGACTTTATGCCTGGAAAATATGAAGGTCAGTGAAAGAGAGGAAGACCTTCAAAGAGATGGAATAAAATAGTGACTACAACAACAGGCATGTGCATGGTGGAGATTGTAAGGATGGTGTAAGATATGCCAAGGATTCAATCTGTTGCTCTTAAGTTCATTAAGGTGTAACTTTTTTTTTAAACTTCATGTCTAACTCTTAATGAATGGTAGTCAATCTGACAACAAATAACAGAACCCCAGATCACTTCAAGACAGTATGACTTTTGAGTGTCAAAGGTGAGAATGCAGTTCACAGAGAAAAGTAAATAGGACTTGCAACTGGAAAACCTGGGATGGTATCCAGGTACCAACATTCACAAGTTACACTGCCTATAAAATAAGCATAATGTCTACATGATTATTGTGTAAGAAATAGGGATGCTGCAAGTAAAGCACATAATAAAAATACCTAGCAGATATTAAGTGCCATAATGTTGGCTCAGACTTAGAGACACTATGGACAACAGAAAGAAACCCTGCCCAATCCTGTACAAGCCTCACAATCTCTGCTGTGCTTAAACCCATTATTTCAGTGAATGTGTAAATTTATCTCATTGGCTTTTCTCTTTTTTACTGATCCTCTACTTTTTCAAATATGATGTCTTTCTCTATTCTATTACATAAACAGTTACTCTGAGACAGAATTGACCTAATGACACCTAACAAAAGAACATATTATGAAATCTGGTTGTTGGCACATTTACAGAAGTAAATTCTCTTCAGTTTACTAATATAAAAACTAAATTCCAGGAAAATGAAGTGGATTGTTAAAAGCCAAACAGTTGGAGCACAGCAAAAGTAAGATCCTGGTTCCCTAATAACTCATGATCATCTTATTAATCTTTCAATTATAAATCTCTAGCATATTTATATAGAATTTACTGCATATGCCCAATAATCACTGGCATTTAATTAAATCCTATCTAATACGATTCATTACTATTTCATTTAAATTTTGCTTTTTCCAACTAATCTGGAAGGTTTATTAGGGTATGATTTATATCTTAAATCTCTGTATCCTCTCCAGTGCTCCAGACTTTATATTTTTATAAACTTACAGAAGGCACCAGGAACTGGATCAATCACTTTACATTTAACCTTTGGAAAAATTCTTTCCAGATTAAGTGTAATTATTGCTATTTAACATATTGTTGTTTTTGTGTTCTGAAGAGTTGGAACTGATCCATAGCTAATCCTCCAGCAGGTTTTCAGAGGCAGTTAATCACATGGGAGGATATTACCTATCCTCCTGCGTAGCAGCTGGTGGCCTTGAACCAACTGTGTGCCTTCAGGATTGTGACGCAGTTTCTTGCCACTAGGCCACCAGAGATCTCTATTTAACATACAGAAAACTGAATCTCTTAGTACAAACTGCCATCTAGTCCTGGAGTTGGGAGTTCAAACCCACCATGTAATTTGAAAGGACATGTACACATATTAGACCAAGTTGTTTCTTTGTGAAAAATCCTAGAAGGTGGAAAGGGCATTTGTTGGATCCCATTTTAGGTAAGAAGAAAGAGGGCCAGAAATGCAGAAACTTTCCCAAAATCCCACAGCTGTTAACAGCAACCTAAGTGTTTAGATGTTAAGTTCAAGGCATTCTTTGTTACACCACAGAATTCTAAAACATGATTTGTTGGTTATTGCACTAATTGATAATTTCTCTCTTATTGAAGAACTGCTATTCATCATTTAAAACAATATTATACTTTTAAAATTACATAAAAATGCCACTCAACAGTTTAAGATTTAGGTTTATATACAACAATGCAAATTCAGTATTTATTCCCCTAAATCACTACTGTTAAATTTGGGTGAAAGAATATGGATAATCAAACAGCAGAGACACAAGTTCGGGAATTTCCTTTAGAAGATCTGATGAAGTCAAACAGTTGGCATACAAATGAAGTGAAACAGCTCTAGAGGTGAAATATTCTACAAGAATAAACTCAAAGGGAGTATAGAGGAGACAGTATTTACTGCATTATTATTTGCCCCTCCATCATTTCTCTTGAACTGCCTTCTTTTATCCACTGTTTTAGAGAGCTCTGGTGGGCTAGTGGTTAAAAACTTTTGCTTTTCAAGGAGAGGAGCAAATGGGGGGGGAGGGGGGAGGGGTTTGTGCGGGGAGAAGGGTGCAACAATGAATGAATGGAATCCCAAAATCTCTGTAGATGTTCATTAAAATAAAAAATAAACAACCTAAATTTAAAAAAAAAAATTGCACTAGCAACCCAAATGCAGGTGGTTCTAATCAGCCTGCTGCTCTGTAGGAGAAAGATGGGCAATCAATTCCAGTGTGATTCACTGCCTCTGAAAACCTGATGAAGACTGAGTCAGTACACCACCACCAGCAAAACAACAAATCCACTGCTTTGCTCAGTTCTTATTGCACCTCATTAAAATTAGAGCAATAATTCTATGATATTTTTTTTTTGCCTTTAGTCTTGTCCTTTCAGTTGTTTTGAAAGTAACACAGACCTTCCTAAAATGGAAGTCTGAGTAGGTGACTTTAAAAATAAAACATATATTGACTCATCATTTGATAGAAAGTCCAAAATCTTTAGTTCAGCAACAAAAGTCCTCCCACATACTTTCCAAGTTTATTTCTTAATTTCATCTTGCCTTAATTAGCTCCCTCTGCAGACCCTGCATTTCAGTCACTAAACTACTTGTCAACTCCTAGAACACCCTTCATACTTATGTATAAAGTCTCTGCTCAGCCTAGAATGCTGTTTGTTTTTCAAGTCCTAGAATAAATGAAACCTATAGCATGAAGCCTCACAATCTTAATTTTTATAATGGATATCATTCTTCTACATTCACAAATATTTATTTTACTCTGAGATTAGGCAAAATTCTCATATTATGTTGTCTATACTTTTTGTAAATGTAACTTATCTATTTCTACTCATTATAACTAAACATCCATGTGAATTTTATTTAAATTAGATACTTCTCACTTTTTCTTCATGCTTTGAAAGGTGGAGGGTCTGTGAAAGAGAGGAAGATCCTCTCAACCAGTCAACCAGGTGCACTGACATAGCAACTGCCACAACGGGCTCTACTGTGTCAAGAATTGTGAGGATGGCACAGGATAGGACAGAGTTCAGATATATTGTTCATAGGGTCACTATGAGTTGTACTTGACAGCACCTAACAACATTTCTTTTAATTTTTTAAATCTCCACAGTAATTACCACAGCATCAAACAGCCAAATATTTAATTTATATTTTGGATGACCATGTACAGCTTGTTCATTACATTTCAATTTGAAGTACTTATTGCAGACAGTGGGCAGAAGAGCTGGGCAGATTCAAGAAAGGGTGGTATAGGTAGGCGCCTTTCAATTACCAGGATGTCTTGAGAATCCAGGATAATTTCTCTAGCTGTGGCTGGGAGAGTACCTTAAGACTGGAGAAAGGTTTATCATAATGATCATGGAGCAGGGCCTACTGATGGTGGTGCAGATGATGACAGATTGACAGGGGAGAGGTAAGAAAGGACTCTTGACTCTTCCCTAGGGCTGTGATCTACCTTGAGTGCTCCTGAAGGTGCTTAATTGGCATTTTTTGCTATTGTTGTTAAGTGCCACTTAAGTGTTTTCAGAGGCAGTACATTGCTTGGAAGAAGAATGTCTATCTTCTTCCTTCAAAGCAGCTGGGAGATTCAAACTGCTTGTCTTTGGGTTGGATGACCACTAGGTCATCAGAACTAATTTGGCATTTAGCACGTGTTATTATTCTGTACTAGCGATCTCTGGCAGCTTAGTGAAAAGGAGTAGCAAAGCACGGGACTGCTATCTGCAAAGGTGGCAGTTCAAATCCACCAGGCACTTCATGGAAGTAAGATGAGGCAGTTTGCTCCTGTAATAAATTTACAGCCTCAGAAAGCCCATAGGCCAATTCTACTCTGTCCTATGGAGTCATTATGTCCCCAAACCAATTCAATGCAATTAGTTTTATTTTCTAATATCAGTAAACTTTATCTCTTTATATTCTTTCTTTAGGTAGAAATAAGCTAAAAGCAAATACTACATTTATTATCTGAAGAAGCATGATCTAATTAAGAAAGCATAAAGTTGGTGTCTCAAGTCTCAGTTCTGTCATTTATCCACCATGTAACTCAGAGAATGTTTCATTTCTCTGAATTTCACTCTATTGTCAATAAAACAGAGAAAATATTTATTTTGCATGGTTATTGTAAGGACAAGAAAGAATATGTATAAGTTCTTAGCACAAGGACTAGCACAAGCACTGGTTATTAGAAACTCTTTGGGAGAAAAAAACAAAGAAAAAACTTCTTTGACTCTTCAACAGTGAACAATGCCCAACACATATAAGATACACACTGGCACTGCTAACAATATAATCACATGCTTATAAGACTTGTAAGGAAAAATTTAAAAGACAAAAACATACCTGTGAGATAGGAGGTAAACTGCTTTGGACCACAGCGAATAGCATAGCGCGTAGTTGTTCGCACAGCTTTTGGTTCAGTCTGTAAAGCATCCCTAGGACAAAAGAGGGTCCCGTCTGATGTTTCTCCCCACCATCTCACTCGGACAAGTACACAAGTGGGAGGCTTTGCAATCTTCCATATGACTTTGTTAATGGTAAGTTTTAGAAAGCATCGTAGCTGGCCTTCAACCAGAGGTGGTAGGCTTGTAGATGGTGAAATGTCACTCAAACCTGTAATCCAAGAACACAAGAGTTAAAATTTAAATGAAACACAAAAAGACATGACTGAAAACCAGACAAAAACACTTTCATTTCCACAGAGAGAAACTAAGTGAGGTGTCAGAATCTTTGATAAATAGCATTTCTAGCCATTGTTTTAAACCTGTTGGGGAGGCATGGACCCAGTGATTCATAGAAATAGGTGCAGGAGCACGTATGTAGTTATTTGTTTGGTACTACTGGATATTACGGATGGGGGACAGTTCACCTTTATGAAGTGGGTAGAAGTCTGACTTGGCCATCTCCATGTTTCCACTGGTCCTTTTACATTACCTATTCCAACTCATACATGACAGGTAATATCAAATCAGGACATGAAAATAACTTATCTAGTCATTTAAGTTAACTGATTGTTGTTAACTGCCATAGAGTTGATTCCAACTTACTGTGACCAATTGTGCAGAGTAGACATGAACCATAAGGTTTTCAAAGTTGTAACCATTCAGAAGCCAGGTGTTAAGAGTTCTAAGGTAGCTCTGGCCCGTTTTAACCTCAAACTTTCTGGCTGGTAGTCTGCTTTTGCTGTCAGCTGGTCAGCTGTTGCTGACTTGACTCTGACTCATAGCAACCTACATACATCAGAGGGAAATCTTGCTGGATCCTGTACCATCCTGACAATATGCCCCATGTTTAAAACCACTGTTGCAGTTACTGTGTCAATTGTCCAGATAAGGGTCTTCTCTCTTCTTCCCTGACCCTCAGCAACTAAGTATAATGTTCCCTTCCAAGGACTAGCCTGAAAACATGCCCAAAGTATGTGAGATGACTCCTTGCTTCAAGACTCCGCCTATTTATCTTCTAAGACAGATTGGTTTGTTCTTTCAGCAGCCAATGGGATATGGGCAAACACGAGAATTCAAAAGCATTAATTCTTCTTCAGTATTCCTTTTACAACTTTTACAAGCACAAATACAATTATGTAAATTAAAAAAAAATTCAGTTGTTGAAATTCTTCTTCTGCCAAGTATTGATGTTTTGAGTACGGCAACACCCATGGTTTTAAAGATATGTATTATCTTATGTAATTAATTCACTTATTTTAAAAACCATCAACTATACACAAACCAGGAACAATTATGTTCATTAAATACAAGAATAATTTAGTCTACATCATACAATTTAACATCTTTATAATGACCTTCTTAAACTGTCTTTTTTTCTCCTATCAATATCAAAAAGTCAGTGAAGCCAGATTATCTTTAGACTCTGTCACTACTTCTTAAGCATCTGACGGATTCATAATATTAATTGGTTTTTACAAAGATAATAAAAACAAAACAATCATGAGCAACATCCTTTAACAACTGAGTCTTCTATCCACAGCACAATCCTTTTCCCTTGAAGAATGATCATGTCTCTGAAGAAGAAAATGTATTTAAAGCAGCATCTGTCAGATTAGGAATTTGTACAACCAAGTCTTTGGATTTCCGAAGTAAATACCCTTTTCTGCCCTTTATAGTGAGAAAGTCCCACCGTGATCTTTATGGTTTATATTAGTTTCAATATAAATGTGGTATGTTGTTATTATTTGCCATCGAGTCGCTTGAGACTCATAGCGACCCTATGTACAAGAGCCCTAAATGTGGTTCTATCCTGTGCCAACCTCGCAGTCTCAGACACACTCATTCCCACCACTCCACTCACACAATCTATCCATTTCATCAAAGGTCTTCCTCTCCTGCGCCGTCCTTCCACTCTCCCAAACATGATGTCCCTCTCTAAGGACCAGTCCCTCCTTGCAACATGCCCAAAGTATGTCAGATGAAGCTTCAGAATCCTTGACTCCAAGAAGCATTCTGGCTTCACCCTCTCCAGGACAAAACTCTTGTTCTCCTAGCAGTCCATGGTATATTCAACACCCTTCTCCAGCACCACAGCTCAAAGGCATCAATTCTCTTTCCATCATCCCTATTCACTGTCCAACTCTCTCATGCATAGCACATAATTACAAAGACTATAGCCTGGATCTGGTGCACCTTAGTCTCCAGCCTGATGTCATTGCTCTTCAGTATGTGCACTACTGCATATGCATCTGTTATAGAAAGGAAGGCATTATTTTCTGTACATTATTTCTACTTTGATTTTTCTCTTATCAATTAAATGGGCTTGGCTGATTTGACAAAGAGAACACTAGTACTGAAGACCTCCACGCTTCTCTCAGATTCTCCTAGCATACCTGGCAGGAAAGGCTTCACTTCAGTCATCTTTAAACACCTTGGGTAAGATATTTTCCTACTCCCAAAGAGTAGCTTCTGCCTTCAGCCCAATGGCTTTAACATACTATTATTATTTCTAATTTTCTTTCTTCACTGTTATTGTTGGTCATCAGGTTGATCCCATGGATGTAGAATAGAATTGCTCCACAGAATGTGATCATTTAAAAGCTAAATGTCACACATATCTTTTGAGGTGCCTTTGGGTTGGAACCACCCACCTTTCTGGTAATACTTGAGTGCTTAACTTGTACCACCCAGGGGGTGCTAAAGCCCACATGATGTGAAAGAAAGGGTTGTTGTGTATGGCTGAGTCAGAATCAACACAAAGCATATTCCACAGGTTTAAGAAGCAATAATTTGTACAGGAGGAATTTGTCCATCTTTCTCCCACGGAAGAGTTGGTGGATTCAAACCGCTTATTTTTGCACCGGCAGTGCAATTCCTTACCACTAAGCCACCAGAGAGCCCTAAAAAAGGCAAAGTCATCAATTTTTCTCTTTTCTTGGAAGCAGATCTGTAGAGCTTCAACTTCTTGTTTTCTCATTTGCCCTAGTTTCCTGAGTGGCTGTTCTCATTACAGATAACAGACTTCCTCCCCTTTTGGCCAGCTTGTTCTCAAAAAAGCATCCTAACCTAATGAGGTCCTCTTGCATCTTTGTATTTACTCTTAATCCCTAGACACCTCATGTCCTTGGGGAGATGTGAGGTGACTCGCACTCCAACCCCACCACATAAACACTGTCACCCAACTGAGATCAAGTTTAACGCAACTCATCAAACCAAATTATATTAAAAAAAAAAAAAGAATCCTAACTCTAGTGACCCTTTGTTTCCAAGGATTTAAATCTTTACATTAGGACAATTCATCTTTCTCCCAGAGTGCTGGTTTCCAACCTACTGACTCTTCGGGTTAGCAGCCCAATATTTAACCACTCATAGTCATTCTATTTTTTATCAACTTGTTACTGCATATTTCTTTCTCTCTCTGTTCAACTTTCCCCCAACTCTTGCTAGCTTGCCTGACTTGCTTCATTCATTCATTCATCAAATATTTATTTGGTCTTGCTTTGTGCTAGTCCTTGGGGGTGTTTTATATCCGTACTCATTGACCCTTCTCCAACTTTGTTAGGAGAAACACGTTTGGAATTTTTTTGTTCCCCTTCCTTAGAGATGTTCTAGAAGTACCTCACCAGCCAACTCGTTCCCATTTTTTGTCCCGTCACTCCAGTTGCCTGTATTGTCTTTTCATTCTTTAGAGGGCCAACTGCCCTCTCTTTATCCTCACTCCCCGTCAGTCGTTCTCCCCTGATCCTCTGACACCTGGCTCCTCGTCCAAGTTCTTTCCTTAGCCCTTGATTCCGATTACCTCTCTTCTTGCGGCCACGGCCGCCTCCAGGCCCCTGGCTTTTTCTTTGTTTCATGCCGATCACGAGCTCTTTTCACCAACTTAGCTCCCAAATCAGCAACGATGTCTTATCCTCCCGCCATCCCTTCCCACCGCGCCAGTGTTCCCCAGCAACCAGCGCCGCTGGGCAGTCTGGGAAGAAGGAAGAAACGACTCTCTTCCTCTAACAGTCTCTAGGAAGCCTAAAGAAGGTAAGGCGCCAAGACGCCTTCCTGCCAATAAACTACAACACCCAGGATGCTTTGCTATGCTACCTTTGCGGGGTTGGAGGCGGTTATGGCCAGATGCGCAAGCGCGAAGGACTAGACCCTTAGACGACTTCATTGCCCAGGGTACATTGCACTTATGAGCGCTCCTTCTAGCAAGGGCCGTCGAATTCTCCCTTAGCTTATGAGCTGTCCGCAGACTCCGTTACCCAGCTTCCTTTGTGGCGGCGCTGTTGCGCACTTCCGGTGGAGGAGCTGAGAAGAGGGGTGGGGTTTGCGGAGCCGGTGGGCGGTGGGCGGTACTGCCGGTGACTGGTGCTGGTCTAAAGGCGTCTCTGGAGGAGAGATCTGTGACCGGTTGGGCCACAATTAGCGTGAGACGAAGCTTCGGCTGCTGTTTGTCTGAGTGCGGCCTCGCTTTCATGTCGGCCCTCGAGAAGAGCATGCACCTCGGCCGCCTGCCCTCTCGCCCTCCCCTGCCAGGCAGCGGGGGCAGTCAGAGCGGAGCCAAGATGCGAATGGGGTACGTGACCCTTCTCCCGAGAGGCCAGGCCGCGGCCGTTGGAGAACGACGTTTCTAGGCGTTTAGAGTGGCATGGGGTGAGAGGCTAAAGATAGTAAAAAACACTGACAGCGGGCTGAGAAAGGCTTGGATGGAATAGAAGGCAGATCTGAGGGACTGGGGAGTCGCCAGATCAATGGAAATTGGAGGACACCGTCAGAAACAGAGGCGTGAAGGAAATTTAGGTTAGTGATGCTGTAGGGAAAGGGATGGAGGCAAAGAAATAGAAACAGAAAGGATAATTTAAGGGATGTGGGAGGCACCTCCAGAGGAAGGAGTGAAAGAAGCTTGAGCAGAGAGTAGAGTCGTGACAAAGGTGGTGGGAATCTGCCAGTTGAAGGAAATAAATAGGGAATGCGGAGAGAAAAGTTGAGGGGAATTGGGAGAAGAGCTAGGGAAAGGTTTGGGAGTAGTGAGAAGGCTGTGAGATCTAGATCTTAGCGAAGCTGGTCGGTGTAGGGAACACCTCGAGGTTGGAAAAGGAAAGAGCAGAGCGAGCCCTGGGACTGAAGGTTCTAGACTGTTTCTAGATGTGTAAATGACAGACTGAGAGAGTGAGTGGTGAATGAGATAGGCCTCTTCAGGGCGAATTGAGAAAGCTTCGAGAATAGGCCTAAGGAGAAGATAGCTACGAAGACTGTAAATTGTAATGGGAATATTCTGAGAAGCTGTGGGAAGTAAGGGAAATGATGAGAGAGAGGTCTGAGAAGTTTGGAGCGTGACCCTGGTCACTAGGGATTGAGAAATGACTAGAAATCAGGTTTAGTGAATGCTACATAGGCAAGGTTTGGGAAGCTTTAAGATTTGGACAGCTTGTTTTTGCTGAGCAATGTATTTGATGGAAGCTGTGTACTTACCATCTAAGATTCAGACAATACATGAAGCATTAAAAGTCAATAGTTAAAAAGCATTTGAGGAAAACACTTTGCTGGAAAGAGGCTGTGTTGAAAGGGGCAGGCTTTGAAATTTTAGGTTATTGAATGGCCTGTGCCACAAGGAAATAAATAAGTAATGAGTTGAAAAGGTGTTTAATGATTGTTGGAATGAAAAAGAAATTGAATAAACGCTTAGAATTATAAGATATTTGTAGTATTAGAATTCTGGGGCTAGTGACTGTAAAAAAATGGTGGGAAAGTTAAGTATTCATCAGTATGACTTTGGGATTCCAGTGATGGTTTAACTGAGATTCTGGGAATAAGAAGTAATGAAGAGAAATCTTATATTTGGCAGAGGTACTAGAGCAATGGTGTCACTCTGGAGACTAAGGTGCATCTGATACAGGCTATGGTCTTTGCAATCACTTGTTATGCATCAGAGAGTTGGACAATGACCAGGGAGGATAGAAGAATTGATGCCTTTGAGCTGTGGTGCTGGAGAAGAGTATTGAATGTATCATGGACTACCAAGAAAACAGATTCATCCTGGAGAAGGTTAAACCGGGCTGCTCCTTGGAGGCAAGGATTCTAGGGCTTTGTCTGATATACTATGGACAGGTTATAAGGAGGGATCAGTCCTTGGAGAGGGACATCATGCTTAGCAGGGTGGAGGGACAGCGCAGGAGGGGATGGCCCTCTATGAGGTGGATTGATTCAGTGACTGGGGTAATCGGGATGGGTGTGCCGGAGGCAGTGTGATTGGCACAGGATAGAGCAGGGTTTAGGGCTGTTGTACATAGGGGTCGCTGTGAGTCGCAGGTGACTCGACAGCACGTAAGAACAACACCACTACCATATAAACATAATATGAAATGAGAATGAGAGATACAGTCCTGTGAAATTAAGTGTTGGGAATGAAGGGAAAGGAAAATCCTATAAATTAAAATAGAAAGGTGGTAGGGATGGTAGGAGAAACCAGAGAAGGAAGCTGAAAATGGAAGTGGTGCCTTGAAGAAGCTGTACAGTAGAAGTGAAAATACAGAGGAGACACAGATTGTTGAATGCATGATAGAGGTGCGATTTGTTATGTGCTTTTGAGTTGAAATTGACTCATCGCTGATCCCGCACTGGGTTTTCATAGACGGTAAATCACACATAATTTGCCCAGCTTTCTCCCTCTGAGCAGCAGATGGATTCAGCCAAGTGTGTTTGGGTTGGCAGTGCAGCTCCTTACTACTAGGCCACCAGAGCTCCCTAGAGATGTGGTAGAAGGTGACATAAAAGATAAAATGAGAATTGTTTTGATTTTAGAAAATTAAGTAGGACTATGACATGACTAAGGAATCTAACAACTTGGGAATCTTGTTAAAATGTAGATGCTGAATCATTATATTTGGGATGGGGAAAAAATCTTAATAGAGGGTAGACTAAAATGAACCAGTTCAAAGCCTTGCTAGAAACTGGCTTGTGACACGATTATTTGGGAAAATTAACCTGGGGTATAAAAATAATGTAACATTTATTGTTAACATCATTATGGATGGAGAGGAGATTCAAACTGTCAACAACTTCATCTTGCTTGGATCTACAATTAACATCCTTGGTACCAACAGACAGGAAATCAGGAGACGTATTACACTGGGAAATCTGCAATCAGGGACCTCTCCACAATATTGAGGAGTAATGTTGTCAGTTTGAGGATTAAGGTGCAGCTGATTTATGCCAAAATCTTTCTTATCACTTGCTATACATTTGAGAGCTAGACAGTGCATAAGGATGACAGGAAAAGAAGTGATACCTTTGAGCTGTGGTGTTGGAGAATAGCACTGAAACTTCTCATGGACGGTCAAAAGAATGAACAAATATTTCTTGGAAAGGGTGCAGCCAGAGGGCTCTTTGGAGGCATGAATGATGGATGTAGCTTTGCCTTACATATTTTGGGCATGTTGCTAGAAGGGGCTATTCCTTGGAGAGAGAGGGGCCTGATGCTGGGAAGGGTGGAGTATCGTAAAGAGAGGAAGACCCTCTATCAGGTGGACTGACACGGTGACTTGCAATGGCCTGTTGTGTGTCAGGAAGTGTGAGAATGGTGCAGGATAGAACAGGGTTCATTCAGATCTTTTGTTCATAGGGTGGCTGAGTCATATACTCGATGGCACCTAATAACAACTGTGTTGCTATCTCTCTTAAACTAGCTTTCACATTTTGGTATACCAGTACACTGTATAAATACGTAATTACTTGTAACAATTAACTGCACATGCTGTGTTGGTGTTAATGTGCTCTAGGGTCGGGACCAACATAGCTGACTGCAGTTTCAGAGTTTTCAAAGGCTTAAGGAGATTGTCTCTGTATCTCCTGCAGAGCAGCTGGTAGATTCAAACTGCCTGCCTGTAGGCTGGCAGCACAACTCCTTAAGACTAAGGCACCAGAGCTCATATACTTTCTAGGTAAACATAGTTAGAAATGAGTTTCTTGTCTGTCAAAAAAACAGATCTCTAAAGAGGAGGAAGTAAGGAGAAAAGAAAAGGTAGAGTCTGCTGACCAGAAGATTATGTAGTTGTTAGTAATATAACTTCTTAACTTTTTCTGTAACAACCTAACTTATTAATTTTCTAGTAACTTGTGATTAGGGTTTTGGTTTTTAACTTTTTTATTTTATTTATTTTAAAAAAATCTTTTAGACTTCATGATTTAGGTTAATACCATGAAATAAACTTTTTGTTTAGGAAGTAACTTCTTTTTTCCTTTAGGAAAATGATTTTTCGGCATGGTATTGGAAAGAGAAAAATCATGGTTTCACCTGTATTGGTGAATTTTATGTGGTCCTCATGTGGTTTATTTTCCTCTATTTTTGTTTTCTCTTTCCTCTTTGGTACATTGGCAAGGCTTAACCTAAGTCTAATGTTATAATGGGCTGTCTTCTACCCTAGAATGGCAAAGCTAGATGACAGCTGAGAAATGATCTCATCTTACTACTTTGTTTTATAGTTGAAGAAACTGAGGCAAGGGAGGGCAGTAAATAATGTTTTCTCTTGACAAGTGAGTAAACTGGCTCAAATATTCCTGCTCTTAAGGAACCTAGTTAGAAGACTACTAAAGACTCAAACTCATTACACATCAAGTCAGAACCAACTCGTAACTGACCCTGTAGTGGGTTTTTGGAGGCTCTAGATCAGAGAGCTAGACAATGGCTATGGGTGACAGAAGAAGAATTGATGACTTTGAGTTGTGGTGTTGGAGAAGAGTATTGAATATACCATGGACTGTTAAGAGAACAAAAAGGTCCATCATGGAGAGGTTGAAACCAGGCTGCTCTTTGGAGAAAAGGATTCTGAAGCTCTGACTGATGTACTTTGGCATATTGCCAGGA